GGGACGGGGTTGCCGCCCCGCTGCTGCCCCGCTCCAGGGTAGAGCGCTCACCCTTCACACGCGGGCTCCGGCCCGTAGTGCTCGCGGGAGAAAGGGCACCGGAAGTGCGTTCCCTTCTAAAGCTTCCCCCGTCTTGCCCACGCCGGACCCAAACTTCGCGCACAGGAACTGCGCATCCGGAAGTACCCCCTCTTTTTGGAACCCTGCCCGATTCGGGAGCTCGAGAGAGTAGGCCATCGCCATTTCCAAGCGCCCACTTTCAAAATGGTAGCCGGAAGGAAGTTCGCGGCTGCGACGAGCGCGAGGTTCTAATTGCAGAGCAAGCAATTTCCGGTCCGTTAGCAAAGATGGCTGCGCCCAGTGGTGGCTTCCAGCCTCGTGAGCGGCGCAGCGGGGAGCAGGAGCAGGATTGGGACGCGTCAGCCCCCAAGCGGCCCCGGCTCGGGGCTGGAAGCAAGATCGGAGGCCGTAGGCTCATTGTGGTGCTGGAAGGGGCCAGTCTGGAGACGGTCAAGGTAACTCGGGACAGGAAGTGGAGAACTCGGGGATCGGGAGAGTGGCTTTCCTGGGGACGCGAGTGAGGGGCTCGAAGTGGGTGGAGGCACAGACGAAGCTGCTTTCGGAGGGGGCTGGTCCTGTCGGCACTCGCCTGGTTTCACACCTTGGGTTGGCAGTGCTCATTCCAAGCCTTACCTCCCTGATTCCAGTGGACTGGCCGGGGTCTGTGATGTAGTTTGTCTTTGTGTCACCCCACGCCCCAAGACAAGTTGCTGGGGAAACGACAAAGTCAGGCTAGCCTAGTCTGTCCACCCCTTTTAAAGACTTCATATTTAAACCTGTTAGAGGGTGTCTACTGTCACCCCTCTCTTGCTGTTCACCTGGAACACTCTGGATTAGATATTTGATATGCTTAACATTTTACCTTTGCCCATCACTCGTCAATTCCAAGTGAAGTAAAACTGGCAAGGGCCTTTTTGTTTGTTTTTTTTTGGGAAGGTTTTTGCCATCCGGCGCGTGCGCTCGCCGGGAGAGAGTGAGAGGGAAAGTGAGAAGTCCCCTTGCTGGCGGGATGGCCACCCTGAGTCCCTTCTCCCGGAATTTTTGCCTGCGTGATTTTCAAGCCAACTTCTCTGGGGCTCTAACCGGTGGACCATGTGGGAGTCCAGTACCTTAACCACCATGCTCCGTTTGCCCCAGCAAGTTCACATCTTAAAACCTTGTGCCGTGTTGTTACTCCTCGTTTCTGACTCTTCATAGCTAAAGTTGCATTGAGTATGCCCACAAGAGATAGCATTGGTCTGAGACACGGATTTTCATCTTGGTCCTTACACTTATTTTAAGTGTGTGACTTTGAGAAAATAAGTGTGTCCTCAGTTTGAATGGGGGTAATAACTGAACCATACAAGGGGACAAGTCCTTCTAAAGTAGTACATTTTCGGCATCTCAGGTGAGATCCTTTTCCACTTGTTCTTCCTCAGTCCTGTGACACTTACTGGTCTATCAACCTTGCAGTCTAGAAAACCTTTTTTCATTTTAAAGAATTATTTTATTTAACTTTATTTATTTATATATTTACTTACTTAATTTGACCAGAGAGGAACAGAGCCAGAGAGATGGACACAGAAGGAAGGTGAAAATGAGAAAACAAGCCACCAGTTCCAGGCCTGAAACCGTGGTTAGCCATGTGGCAAGCCTGTGCCCTTAACCACCACGCCACCTGTCCACCCCAGAAAACCTGTTTTTAAAGTGACCAATTAATCAGGTTTCCTCTTAATTTGCTTCTGCGATTGGTATTTCTCTTTTAAGGTTTTTATTGCCAGAAGACGCATGCGCTTACCAGACGCTACGGTGCAGTGTGGTCAGGCCGCAAGCCCTTCTCCATCTCCCTACCCTGTACAGATTCTGGACGTGCATACACACGTGCCTGGCATGTTTTCCAAGCGCAGGGGCCAGGAGTGGAACTGCAGTTGATCATTAGTTGTGTGGGATCTGGCTCCCCCAGTCACTGGGCTATGGGACCAGCCCTGTGATTGCTATTTCTGGCCTGGTTACAGGCTCTTTTATTCTTCTCTTAGTAATTGCTGTCTTTTCAATGCGAATGTTCGTTCTGACAGTTCTTGTTAGCTCTTCCGTATAACTATGTAATTGAAAATATGAAAAACATGTCTGTCAGCAGAGCAGAGTGGTTGAGAGTGTAGACTCACTAGATTGCCTGGGCTCTAACTCCTTCTCCCTACTAGTCACGTGACCTGAAGCACATCATGTAGCCATTTAGTTTCTTCATATACTCCATGGGATAATAGTACCTGTCTTGGAGGATTATTGGAAGGATCAAAGGAGTTAATATGAATAAAGAGTTCAGAAGAGGGACCAGCAGGTGGCGTAATGGTTACATTGTTGAACTCCTGAGTAGTCTACCAGGGTTCAAGTTCTGGCCCCTGGAACTTAAAACGCAACATGGGGGTGGTGGTGGTTGTGGCATGGTGGTTAAGGCACTGGACTCCAACATGGCTGACTACAGTTCGAGTCCCAGACCTGGTGACTCACTTTCTCACTTTCCTTCTCTCTCTGTTTCTTTGTCTGCCTCTCTCTGTTGAATGAAAGTGGACCATAGCAAACGAAATAATAATAATTAATAAAGTTAAATAATAATTAAAAAAAAAAGCCATGTGCGTGTGCATGTGTGCGTGGCCGAAATCTTGAGAGGAGAAGGGATTACAATGTGGCCATCCCCCCTGGGTTGTGATTTCTTGCTTTCTGTCTGTCTCTCTGTCTTTCTGGCAAGGGCATGGGCCCTGTAAACATCATAAAAAAAAAAAAAAAGAAAGAAAGAAAGAAAGAGTTTAGAAGAATGCCTGGCAGTTGGAATTAGTTATTATGATTATTTATTCCAGGCTTCTCATTAAGAAGTTGGAAAGGTCCTGGCCAAATGAAAATTCTTAGAGCCTGCTCTGGAAGACTAGGTCAGGTTGTCATCAATGCTACTTCAGGGTGATATTCAAAGCTGGTTGAAGTCGTCATTCTACCGTACCGTGTCTTTTGTCTTCCCGGTACTGGCATGCTCTGCTTTTGCCAGCCTTATTTGGGCCTACTCCTGCTATTCCTTTTTAAAAAATTTTTAAATTAAAATTATTTATTTAATTTTATTATTATTCATTTTTTAATTTGACCAGGCAGAGACAGAGAAAGGGAAAGTGAGGGACCAGCAGTTAGCGTAATGGCTATGTCACTGGACTCCCACGTAGTCGACCACGGTTCATGTCCCGGACCTGGTGGCTGAAACTCACGCCGGGTGCGTGTGCATGCATGCCCAAGATCCCGAGAGGAGAATGGAGGAGAATGGATTGCAGCGTGACCATCCCCCCTGGGGAGTGATTTCTCGCTTTCTATATCTCTGTCTCTGTCTGTCTGGCGAGCACACGCGCCCTATAGCAAAAACCTCTCCAAAAAAAAAAAAAGAAAGAAAGGGAAAGTGAGAAAACAAGCTGCTAGATCTAGGAATTGAATCACAGTTGACCATGTGGGAGTCCATCTCTTTAACCACCACTCTACCTACTGGCCCCACCATTAGTTCCCTTTAAAAATAAAAAGTTAAGAGATTTTTGCTATAGACTGTGTACAATTGCTGGAGAGACAGAGAGACAGGAAGTGAGAAATCACCTCCCCAAGGAGGATCACCACACTACAGTTGCTTCTCCATTTTCCTATTGAGATTTTGGCCACACATGCACATGTGCCCGATGTGTTTTAAGCTGCTGGGTTTGGGACGCAAACTGTGGTCGACTATGTGGGAAACCTGCCACTTAACCATTATGCCATCTGCTGGTCCTGCCATTAATTCCTAATAGTCCAGCCTCACTGGCCGCCTTTGGTTTCTTGAACGCACTGCAGTCTTTTACACCATTTTTTAAAAAATTATTTAATTTTATTTATTATTATTTTAAATTTGCTATAGGGCATGTACACTCACTAGAGAAACAGAGAGATGGAAAGTGAGAAAGCAAGCTGCAAGGTCCGGGACTTCAACCGTGGTGGTCATGTGGCCTAACCACCATGCCACCTGCTGGCCCAATTCTCTTACACCTTAATGCCATTGCATATGTGGTTCTCTAACTGTAAGCCCCCCACCCTCAGCTTTTTGCCTCACTGCTACTCTTTTTTTATTTTGGAGAGATTTTCACTATAGGGCACGTGCGCTCGCCAGACAGAGAGAGACAGACAGAAAGCGAGAAATCACCCCCCAGGGGGGATGGTCACGCCACAATCCCTTCTCCATTCTCCTCTCGGGATCTTGGGCACGCACGCACACGCGTCTGGCGTGAGTTTAAGCCACTGGGTCTGGGACTCAAATCGCGGTCGACTACGTGGGAGTCCAGCGACATAGCCATTACGCTAACTGCTGGTTCCCCCTCATTGCTACTCTTCATTCATTGAATAGTTCTTGAGTTTCTGAAGTGCGTCATGACTTTTCTGACAACCCGTTATTGTGCTGCTCATTCTTCAGTTATTAGGTTAAATGTTACTACCCAGAAGAATGAATGGCTCCCTGGTATAAAACAGATCCTCCTGTTAGAACCCTTTGATGAACTGTTTATTTTTCCTTCATAATATTTATCACAATTTGAATTAAACATTCATGTGATTGTTTTTTTGTCTGTCTCTGTAAGAACAGAGAAGAAGGGTTTAAAAATCCTTTCCTATGGGCCGGTGGCATGGTGGCTAAGGTTGCTGGACTCCCCTCCCACGTGGCCGACTGTGGTTCGCGTCCCGGACTTGGTGGCTTGCTTTCTCACTTTTCCTCTCTTTCACTCTGTCCCTCTCTGGTCAAATTTAAATAAATAAATAAAGTTAAATAAAATAATTCTTTAAAACAATCCTTTCCTGGGACTAGCAGTTGGCATAATGGCTATGTCGCTGGACTCCCAGGTAGTTGACCAGGGTTCGAGTCCCGGACCTGGTGGCGTGTGTGCCCAAGATCCTGAGAGGAGAATGGAGGAGAGGCAACGGTTGCGGTGTGGCCATTCTCCCCGGGGGTGATTTCTCGCTTTTTGTCTCTTCGTCTCTCTCTGGCGAGCGCACGTGCCCTATAGCAAAAACCTCTCCCCCCAAAAAATCCTTTCTTATATCTTTAGTACCTTTACAGCCATGACATGTGGGATGCGTTTTCTGATTATTCTAGTTAGTGGTTTTCAAACCTACTAACCACAGCCCACAACAAAAAAATAAAAGTTACATCGTGGGCACTTTACACATTCTGCTACGTGAAGCTAAGTTTCATAAACCACTGTTCACTATTACTATATGTAAAGTACTCTGACGTTTTCTTTCATTAAAAGAGTAAAAACTCTTGGGGACCAGCAGGTGGTGTGGTGGTTAAGGCGCTGGACACTCCCATATGGCTGACCATGGTTTGAGTCCCAGACCTGGTGGCTTGGGTTTTCCCCTTCCCTCTCTGTCTCTCTGGTCAAATTAAAAGTAAATGAATGAATAAATAAAGTTAAATAAATGATTCTCAAAAAAAAAAAAAAAAGAACAAAACCTCTTTTAATGACATTAAAACTTGTGCCAAGTTTTATACCCTATTAGTGAGTTGAAACTGGATTATTCTATTCAAGAGGTTTATTTTAATCTGTAACTTAGAGATGTGAACTTAGTCATAAACCCAGTCCGTTGTCCTTTGTTCTTTGTATTTACTGACATTCTTGCTATTTCAGCTTTTCAGTTAATTTCACAACCTACTTTTCCCCTAAATTTACTGGAGCTATATATTTCAAGGTATTGCTAGATATACACAAATACTGTAGTCATCATTAAAGCATAACCTTTGGGGGCTGGCAGATGGCGTGGTGGTTAAGGGCATTGATCTCCCACATGGCTGACTACGGTTCGAGTCCTAGACCTGGCGGACCCACTCTGTCCCTCTCTTGTTAAAATTTAAATAAAGTTAAATAATTCTTTAGAAAAATGCATAACCTTGGAACCAGCAATTAGTGTAATGGCTATGTCACTGGACTCCCACGTAGTCTACCGTGGTTCGCGTCCCGGACCCGGTGGCTTAAACTCACGCCGGGCATGTGTGCGTGCGTGCCCAAGATCCCGAGAGGAGAATGGAGGAGAAGGGCTTGCGGTGTGACTATCCCCCCTGGGGGGGTGATTTCTCGCTTTCTCTCTCTCTGTCTGTCTCTGTCTGTCTGGCGAGCACACATGCCCTATAGCAAAAACCTCTCAAAAAAAAAAAAAAAAAAAGAAAAAAGAAAAAGAAAAATGCATAACCTTTCAAAACTTGTATTTGTACTTAAATGTGTTTAATTTTTTTTTTTTTTATTGGCACCCTAATGCTTTTTAGGATTCCAAATTGCAGCTTGCAGTTCTTTCTCTTAGTCTGAAGTCAGCTGGTGGCGTGGTGGGTAAGGCACTGGACTCCCACATAGCCACCTGCGGTTTAGGTCCCAGACGTGGCAGCTTGAAACCTGTGCCGGGCATGTGTGCCCCAAATCCCAGGAGAATGGGGGAGAAGGGATTGTGACATGACCCTCCCCCTGGGGGTGAGTTCTCACTCTCCCTCTCACTCTTTCGGGCACGTGAGCGCCTGTGGACAACGGCAAGGACAGAAACCGCAGCCTGAGTCTTTAGCACCAGACTTCTAGCTGGTGTCTTCTCCAGTACCCGGTTGCCAGGGTCCTATTTCTGTCACTCCTGTCACGCCCCTCTTCCTCCAGATCTAGTTTCTGGTGCTTGACAGCTGAGGAGCCTGTGCTGTACAGCAGGTTCATACCTAGTCACTGCCCTTTATGCCTCAGTTCTCGCTTCCCCGTTTCCTTTCCTCGTGTATCTGCCTTCTCTTAATCCCATTCGTACCTTTGTTCATGTCAGTCTTAAACCTGGGAGTAACGCCTGTTTTACTTGAGAGCAGTATTCCTCAATTGAACTAGCTCCTGCCTCGTCGGAATTTTCACACTTCCTGTCCCACCTGTGGCTCTTAGTCTGTGCTATAAGCACACCAGTGGTAAGGACTGTAGGCGGTGTGCTTAGCTCGTCCTCACGTCCCTGTGGTGGACGTCAGTGCAGTCTTGTCACTACCGAACTCCTGCCTGGTCGCAGAGCCTCTCGCTAGCCTTGCCAGCAGCCATGGCTGTGAGTTAGATCTGTCTCGTGCAGTCACGGGCCGTGCCCTTCCTCCCGTTTCTCTCCTTAAGATCAGCTACGGGCCACTTTGTGGCCTGGTGTTTGAGGCGACTGGGTCCCACATGGCCAACTGCAGGGGTCTGAGTCCTGCACATGGTGGCCATGTGTGCGTGCATGCCCAGAATCCCAAGAAGAGAACTCGGGAGAAAGGATTGTGGTGTGACCTTCGCCCACGGAGGGTGCTTTCTCCTGCAAGTGTATAGCCCACTGGCATGTTATTAAAAAAAGATCAGGTACTGGGGTTGGGGTAAGTGTGGCCGCAGTAATTCCCTGAAGGGCTGCTGACCCCCACCACCCCCGAATCTCTGGTTGAGCAGGCCTGAGGAGGTGTAGCTGCTGCCAGTTGGGGGACCACACTGGGGGCCATGGGCTAGGTACTAGGAACTGATGTTGCTCTGCCACGTTCCCTGCCCTTCAGGTAGGGAAGACGTACGAGCTACTCAACTGCGACAAGCACAAGTCTATGCTGCTGAAGAATGGACGGGACCCTGGGGAAGTGAGGCCCGACATAGCCCACCAGGTAGCTCCAGGCATAGCACACAGCCGGTCTCGGTAGGGAGGCGAGGCGGCCGGGCTGCCGGCGTTAGTCTAACTGCCTTGGCTCTGCCTTCCTCAGAGTTTACTGATGCTGATGGACAGTCCCCTGAACAGAGCTGGCTTGCTGCAGGTTTACATCCACACACAGAAGAACGTGCTGATTGAGGTGAACCCACAGACTCGAATCCCCAGAACCTTCGACCGCTTCTGTGGCCTCATGGGTGAGAAGCCTTGGGGTTGAGACTTCAGAGTGAACCTGGCAGCGATGACAGTCGGAGGAGGGGGAGAGGGAGAACTGAATGTGGAGTGTTGTAAGTGGTGGTGGTGGTGGGGCAACGTGGGTGATACTAGGACGTGGTCTCTTCTCTGTGCTGGAAAGGCCACGCTCCTGTTCTTGCCGTAGGTCCCTGGCTGAGTGAAAAAGGGGGTCTGAGCTTAGCCCGTACTGTAGTTATGTGCTTGTGCTCCTGACATCTTCGGAGTAGTCAGTCTGGACGTGAAGGGCACTCGGAACCCACGTGCCTATGGCTTTCTCTGGCTGGATCACCAGGCAGGTGTGTGGTCCTCAGTTCAAAACTGTTTTTTCCTCTTCCTAGTTCAGCTTTTACACAAGCTCAGTGTTCGAGCAGCTGACGGCCCCCAGAAGCTCTTGAAGGTGAGGAACTGAAACCTACTGGTTGGAGTTGGGGTTCTGGGATGCTTCCAGGCTGATTTTCCTCTTTTCTTCCCCCTTAGGTAATAAAGAATCCAGTGTCGGATCACTTCCCAGTTGGATGTGTGAAGATCGGCACCTCTTTCTCCATCCCCATCGTCAGTGATGTACGAGAGTTGGTGCCCAGCAGCGACCCTGTTGTTTTTGTGGTGGGGGCCTTTGCCCACGGCACGGTAAGGCCTAGGCTCAACCAGTAGTCTTTCAAGAGCTGAGGCCTAGCCCAGAACTCCAAGATTGACTGTGGGTTTGGATCCGGAGTTGGCCTGAGACATGCTGGGCACGTGTGCCCCTCAGAGCCGAACTGGATGGAGGGCTGGGATGGGGCAGTCGTGTGACACACCCTGCCGAGGGTGCCTGTTTCTCTCTCATGAGGGAGAGAAAGAATTCCAGGGCCGTTAGCGTGTCGATGGTCCTTATCCTCAGAACTGGTAGTAGATGGTGACGACAGAGCTAGACACACACGGCAGCCCTAGGCTGTGCCCAGGTGGGGACTGCTGGTAGATCTGGAATAGAGCTCGGGGCTTTGTCCTCGTCGGAGTCAAGTTTTTGCTGTAGGGTGTGTGTGTGTGTGTGTGTGTGTGTGCGCGCGCGCGCGCGTGTGTGCGCATGCACTGGAGAGTGAGCAAGAGAGAGGGAAAGTGAGAAATCACCCACTGGGGGATGGCACCACCACAGTCTCGGGATTCTGGGCACACACGCACACACACCCGGGATGATTTCAAGCTGCCTGGCCCAGGACTCCACCTGGAGTTGGCCCTGTGGGGTCTGGCACCGGAACACCATGCCACCTGCAGCCCTGGAGAAGTGTGATAGTGAACAGCGCTGCTGACACAGCCGTGCGTGCCTGTCCTGCGAGTGGCTGGCCCTGCTACAGAGTGCCAGGGCTGGCTGACGGCCGCTCTCTCCTCAGGTCGATGTGGAGTACACGGAGAAGATGGTGTCCATCAGCAACTACCCGCTTTCTGCTGCCCTCACCTGCGCAAAACTTACCACCGCCTTTGAAGAAGTGTGGGGCGTCATCTGACAGCAGCGGGGCCTTGCTCTGAACCCACAGACTGCTCACACTGCACCCTCGGCCCTGTTCTGAACTGGAAGACGGCCTCCTGCTCCGAGCAGTCGGACTGTGGGGACGCTGGGGCCGTCCACGTGCTGTTTATCTTATAAATACTGTTCTTGCAAACCAGGTTGTTTTGGGGTGGGGGGTTTCAACTCAGTAGTTTCTGATGGTGGAAACTGTCCCCCCCAAGACTTGGCAGACAGTTGAGGTTAGAGTTTGCAGCTTTGTTCCAGGCTTTGAAGGTAGGTGTGAGCTCCAGGTTTCCTAGACATCCACGCTCTAGAGACCCCAGTGACCTTGGCCACGGCACATGTGAACCGTGAAAGAAAGCAGCCAGGAGTGCCCACGGTGAAAACCTGAACAAACAAGTGACTTTATCTGGTTCCAAGGTAGAAAAAGTGGAGCAGGCAGGGCCTCGTGCCCCCCTCCCCCCACAGGGGGGCGGTGGCGGTGGCACGTATACAATCATAGTGAGTTGGCAGGAGGACGCAACAGATTCCTGGCTAGAGGGGAGATAAGGCAACGTGCAGGGGGGAGCCCTGAGAGGCCACGGGCCCCTCCGCTCCTCCCACAAGAGTTTCCCCTTTGGCCCCAGATGAAGACTTGGGCGGCAGAGGCACAGCTGCGAGGGCCATGTCTTCCAGCCTCCGGCTCCTCTGTCCTGGTGCTGGGGCGCGGGAGTGCTGTGACGAGGGGGACAGTCGCTTCTGCACCAGTTCTGCTGAGGCCACCTGTGAGACGAGGCACTGGACTGGAGGGCCGGGCCTCGCTCTGCACGGCCCTGGCCTGGTGCCCGCCCCGCTGCTTCCTGGTGTGCCCAGATAGGTTAGAGGTGGCAGTGCCCCACCCACCGGGCCACCCTGCAGCTCCCCCGCGTTTCCAGTACTGCCATTTCCCCCAGCCACCTGCTCCGCTATGTGACCTGGTGGCTGTGGACTTACCAGGGAAATAGATTATTCCATTTTCTTGAGCTTCTCTTTCCTTGGCACCATTACTTTGTGAATATAAGGCAATATGAACAGGAGGCTCAAGAAGAAGACGTGGCCAAGAAAATAGATGGACTTGTACACCTGGGAGGGGGGACAGGCCACTGAGGTGCTGTGGGGACAGAGCACCCCCTGCTGCTCCTCCCGCACCATTCCCCCCAGCTCCCAGCCAGGCCGCGGCTCACCTTCAGCCACTTGTCCCATGTGAAGAGGCAGAAGGCAGTCATGGAGTAGCCCATGAAGAGCCAGTGGATGGTCTGCTGCACCAGGTAGTACATGGGCTGCAGGACGGCGATGGAGGCCAGGGTGCTCAGCACTGGGCTCTCGCGGATCAGGTTGGCAGCCTGGGGGATGGCACGGACATCAGTGTCTGGCCCCTCCCACGGCCCCTCGCCGCCTCCCTGGAAGCCTACCTGTCTTTCCACAATTACGATGAGGAACTCCATCTGGAAGCAGACCAGGTAGCCTGAGTGTAGGCCGTGCCAGAGGGCCAGGAAGAGCAACGAGAGACCCTGGGACAGCTCCTTATTTCCGAGGAACTTGAGTCGTTTGAAGAAGTAACTAGAGGAAAGGGTGGGTCAGAACAAGCCTGGGACTGGTGGTCCTTGCACTCCCACCATCCTGCCTCTGGTTCTTGGGCCTGCCCCAGGAGTGGTGTGGCGTGGTGGCTGGCTCCCACCCGTGGCCACCAGAGGCGGCAGTGCTAACTTAGAGACAGAAGACAGTCCGCCTGGCCTGGCTTAGCTCAGGTAATGACCGGGGCCACCTGAGTGCCTGGTCCTGGCCCTGCCGTGAAGAATGGCAGGCACGCCAGGCTGACACTCTAGTGGGACAGACACGGACCAAGTGCTCGCAAACAGGTTGAGGAGGATGTAGAGCCAGTGGCAGAACTGGGACTAAAACGCAGGATACAGGTACTTAATAGCTTTCTTTTAAAGTTGGCTTATTCTGAGACAGTGACCACTGATGGAGTCATGACCCCATCGTGACCCTGATCATGGACCACCATGATCCACCCTCAGCCAGCCAGGATCACGGCATGTGTGCTGGGCACGAGCCAGGACCTTCTGCGTGGCTTCAGCACTGGATCTGCGGGGCCACCATGGCTGGCCTGTCTCTTCTTCATATATGATAGGAATGGTTTCTTGGTGGGAGGGGATAGAAAGTGTGTGGGTGGGGCAGCAGACAGCGTAGTGGTCACTCACTGGACTCCTACGTGGCCGAGTGTGGTTCAAGTCAATCACGCCAGGCGCATGTGTGTGCATTGCCTGAGATCCTGGGAGGAGGGGCCAGCCGATGGTGTAATGGTTACTTTGCTGGACTCCCACATGGCTGACCACAGTTTGAGTCCCAGACCAGGAGGCTTGCAACTCATGCCAGGTACGTGTGTGTGCATGTCCAAAATCCTGAGAGGAGAATGGAGAAGGGGGACTGCAGTGTGGCCATTCCCCTTGGGGGGAGTTCTTGCTTTCTGGGGGAGATTTCTCATTTTCCCTCTCACTGTCCTGTCTCTCTGTACATATGCCCAAAGGCCAAAACCACTAAAAAGAAAAGGAAAAAGCACGTCTAAGTGTGTGTGTGTGAGGGCCTGGAGGGTTTATCCCTGTGGGAGACACGGAGGTGACCCACCACATCCCCGTCCTCCAGCTGCTTACCGGGCCACCCAGGCGTTGGTGTTGATGTTGAAAGAGGCGATGGTGCCAGTGAAGCGTGGGGTTGTTTCAAAGAGCCACACCTTCATGTTGGCACAGGCGTCCCACTTGGCCTGTCCCTTCTCTTCAAAGCCATTGAAGCCCAGCCCCGTCAGAATGCACACTCCTTCCTGAGCACAGGTCAGCAGTCAGGGTCCTGGCCACACCCCGGCCAGCCCCTGCAGCTGAGTGCTCCGCCCGGTTCCGCCCCTCCACGTACCGTGACCAGCCAACAGGTGACGTACTTGTACAGCACGAACTTGCCCCAGACCAGCATGTACATGCAGCGGAGCCAGAAAGGGCGGTTCTTGGGGAGAGAGAACACGGTATGGGCGAGCACGCCAGTGGCCTCCCCCTTCCTCTGCAAGTTCGTGGCTGGCTACTTTGGCTGGGTCAGAATCCTGCTGTCGGGTGTCTCCCGACAGTCGGGCCTGACAGGCTACAGGGGTAAGCGGGGGAGCCCAGTGAGCGTCCACCACCGCTCCTCAGAGGGTCTCCGAAGTCCGCATAGTGCTGCCCTCAGCTCTTGTTCCCTTCCTCTGCAAAGTCCTGAGCGATCGGAGTGGGGAGCAGAGGACTCCAAACCCTGCTCGGGGTCGACTTGCAGAGAGCAGCCTGCCCGCGACGGCAGGAGCTGTGGCAGGCCCTCAGCTGGGCAGCAGAAAAGCCAGCATGCCCCCTCCCTTGGATTCTGGATTCCCCGGGTCCCCCAGATCTATCAGTCCAGAGAAGAAAAGGGGCTGGAGAATCAGAAGCTGCTGTGCTCTGAGTCGGCACATGGAAGTGACAGGGCAAGCTAGGGGTGGCAAGGGGTGCCAAAGTGCACCTCCACAGCTGGGGCCCGGGACGGCCGTCAGTGCCGGCTGGTGACTGTGCCGGCCTGGCTGCC